CCTTCTCCTCAATCTATTGACTCACCCTGCCGCCTGTCGGTGCAGGCGGATGTCCATCGCTCTCCTAACGGCCGTCGTGTGTGCTCTTGTTCAGTTTCTCCTGTTGAGATGCTGGAATCCGTTGCCCAGTACGTAGTTGCTGGGACACCGGTCTCTTTAAGTCAGAAGCTTAAGCCTGGCTCCTCTCCTTCCTCTTCCCCGGCGGGTAAGAAAGTTTCGCTTTCTTCCTCGGTCCCTACTTCTGGCTCTATTGCTCCTTCCCCTCCCATTTCAGTGGTTGCGCCCCTTGTTCCTGCTATGAAGGTTTCTTTGGGCCCCGCTTCCCTCTCGGTTGCTGCCGTTGCTGAGGTGCGCTCCCCTGTTTCTACTCCACCTCTTCCTGCTGCTGTCCTTGCCTGCTCCTCTCTGTTGTCTCCTCCTCTTCTTCCTCCTCCTCCTCCTCCGGACCCCGCCCGCCCAAGTGATCTGTTCTCCCGCTTCCTTCCCTCCATCTTTGCTCAGTTTACCCATGCCCTCTAACCCTGACTTTGCTGACCCTGATATTCTTTAACGTGCTATGTTGCTCTTTCGCCTTTGTTTCTTCCTTGTTCTCTGTTGTTGTCCTTTCTCTTCTCGTCGACGTCTATTCTTCAATGGAACGTTTAAGGTTATTACGCCAATTTCCTCAAACTCCAACTTCTGATTTCGTGGTTTTCGCCCCTTTGTGTCTGTCTCCAGGAGTCGATGCTTGGTGCTCGTCCTGGTCGCTTTCGTGGCTATTCCTTTCTCTCCCTCCCCCCCCCAACTGTTGCTGGGGCTCCTAATTCTTCTGCTCTCTTGATTCGTTCTGACGTTCCCTTTGTCCCCTTACTTTTTCCTTTGCCTCTCCATTGTTCTGCTGCTCGTATCTTTGTGGGGAAATGGTAGACAGTTCCATTTATCTTCCCCTGAGTGTCCCGCTTTCTCTTCCTGATCTGAAACACCGACTGGACTCCTTGCCGGAGCTTGTGCTTCTGCTGGGTGATTTCAATTGTCGTCATTCTCTTTGGGGTGATGTTCTGACGAATACCCGAGGTCGCCTTCTTGAGCCGTTTATCCTCTCTTCTTCCCCGTCTCTTCTGAATTCTGGTGAGCCCACTCATTTGGACTCTCGGACTCGCACCCTTTCCTGTCTTGATCTTTCTCTTTGCTCTTCTTCTCTTTACGTAGATTTCACGTGGTAGGTTCTTGATGACCTCCATGGCAGTGATCATTTCCCCATCCTTGTTTCCTTTTTCTCTTTTCGCCCTTCCCTCTCCTTCCTTAGTTGGCAGTTTGCTAAAGCGGACTGGAACCTATTTACCCTCAGTGCTGCTCTCTCTCTTCTGCCTCTCCCTCGCGCTCTCCTCCTTTTCCATGACACTGTCTTCGATGCTGCCCTCTGCTCTATTCCTCGCTCTTCCTCTTGGGGTGCATGGAAGTGCGTTCCCTGGTGGAATGCGGACTGTGGTCGGGCTGTCCGCTGTAAGCGTGCAACCTGGAAGAGGCACCGCCGTCGGCAGACGGCCGATTCTTTTCTTTTCTTTCGGAAAGCGAGTGCGGTGGCCCGTAGGGCCATCCTTATGGCTAAACGTGAATGTTGGGCATCTTATGTCTCCACCATCACGTCCGAAACTCCTCTGCTGCAGATCTGGAAGCGTATCCGCAAGATAGCGGGTAAGTTCGTTCCCGATGTTTCACTGGTCCTTCACCTCTGTGGTACTCTTGTGGTGGACCCGTTGCAGGTGGCTACCAAACTGGGTTCCCACTTTTCTTCTGTTAGCTCTGGTCTTCATCTTCCCCAATCTTTCCTTCTTCGTAAACCTGTCCTTGAATCTCGTCCTTTAGATTTCTGCACTCGTCTTCGACTTCCCTATAACGATCCCTACTCTCTCTCTCTGAAATTCGTTCTGCCCTGGCCTTCTGCGGTTCTACGGCGGCGGGCTCCGATGGTATTCATTATGAGATGCTTTGCCATCTCCCTTCGTGCACGTCTCAGTATTTACCGAGTCTGTATAATCGTATCTGGGAGTCGTCGTCAGTCCCTGAGGACTGGCTCGATGCCGTTGTCCTCCCTGTTCGCAAACCAGGGTCTCTGGGAACATCCCCTAAGGACTTTCGCCCTATTGCCCTCACAAGTTGTCTGCAAACTCTTTGAACGAATGGTTAACGTTCGTCTGATGTGGTTCCTGGAACACCATCACCACCTCCTCCCCTTCTCAATTTGGTTTCCGCAAGTGCCGCAGCACGACATATGTCCTGGTGAACTTGGAGGTCTATATTCGTACTGCTTTTGCTGCGAAGACCTCCGTTGTTGCCGTCCTTTTCGACCTGAAAAAGGCTTACGACACCACTTGGCGATATCATATTCTATCCCAGCTTCATTCTTTTGGCCTTCGTGGTCATCTCTCTCTCTTTCTCCGCAGCTTCCCCTCTCGTCGTTCCTTTCAGGTGAGGCTTGGTACCGCTCTCTCTGCCTCTTTTCAGCTATACGAAGGTATGCCCCAGGGTAGTGTTCTGAGCACTACTCTTTTTCTGGTTGCCCTCAATGGTCTTCTTTTCTCTCTTCCTTCAGGCATCTTTTCCGACCTCTATGTCGATGATCTTACCCTTTGCTGTCAGGGTAATGATTCGCCTCTCCTTCAACGCCGGCTTCAACTTGCGATTGATGCCGTTTCGTCTTGGGCCACCGATCATGGCTTCACGTTCTCTATTACTAAGGCTTGTGCCATGACTTTTACTCGGAAACGGGTTGTTCTTCGTCCCTCTTTGTCACTTTATGGTCATCCCCTTGAGTACAAAGATTCTGCGAAGCTTTTGGGGTTATTCCTTGACACTCGTTTGTCTTGGTCTCCCCATATCTCTTACCTCCGTGTTGAGTGCTCTAAGGCCCTTACCCTCCTTCGGGTGTTGTACCATACTTCTTGGGGGGCAGATAGGCGCACTCTCCTTGCTTTACATTCCTCTCTCGTCCTGTCTAAGCTCGATTATTGTTGCCCTGCTTACTCGTCTGCTTCTCCTTCTACTCTTCACTGTCATGATGCTTTGCACCATTCTGGGTTATGCCTCAGTTCTCGTGCCTTTCGTTTGACTGCCGTCCTTAGCTTGTATGTTGACACTGGCTTCCTCTCTCTCCAGGACCACTGTGATCGCTACTGTCTTTGCTATCTTGCGCGGTCCTTACAACATCCTCTCGCCTCTGTCGTGCTTTAACTTTTACCCCTCCTACGGTTCCTGTTCCTCTTCACCACTTCCCTCTTTCTGTCCGGTTATCTCACTTACAGGATTCTCTTTCCGTTCGTATTTCTAATGTTTCTCCTCGTGTTGTTCTTTATTTACCCCGTGGAGAGTCCCCCTTCCGCAGTTTTGTACTTCCTTGTTCCGCATCACTGCTTTTATCCCTCCTACGGTTCTAAAACGCCTTTTCCTTGAGCACTTTTCCTCTCACTCCTGCTCCGTTTCTGGTGTTGGCTACTCTGTTGTTTTTCCTGATCGCACTTATATGTGTCGCTTACCTCCGGAGACTAGCATCTTCACAACAGAGCTTTATGCTATTCTTTATGCTCTTAGTCTCCTGTTTTCTCGTTGTCAGTCTTCCTTTGTTGTTGTTGTTGACTCTCGTAGTGCCCTCGTCGTTCTCGGGGCCTTTACTCCGGTTCATCCAGTGATTGTCGAGATACAGTATTGGATGTTTATAGTTCTCAGTAAATTTAAGTCGGTTGAGTTTTGTTGGGTTCCCAGCCATATTGGTGTGTCTTTAAATGAGCGTGTGGATGCTGCCGCGAAGGAAGCTGTCCGCTCTTGTCCCATCTCTCGTAAAGGTATTCCATATTCCGACTTTTACCCAGTTATCCATTCCTCCGTCCTTACATGTTGGCAGGCTTCTTGGTCGTCTGTTACTGGTAACAATCTACGTACTCTTAAATGTTGTGTTTCTTCGTGGCCGTCCTCCTACCACCGTAACCGGCGATGGGAAACGGCTTTGGCGAGGTTGCGTATTGGCCATACTTGCTTAACCCATGGTCACTTGATGGAGCGCCGCCCTGCTCCTTATTGTCCTAGTTGCATTGTCCCTCTTACGGTCGTGCATGTCGTTCTTGAATGTCCTGACTTCCAGGACGAGCGTATGTCTTGCTTTCCGACCGCCCCTCACGGTCACCTGTCCCTCAATAGAATTCTTGGTGACTCGGATACTTTTGATATCGTTTGCCTTATGCGTTTTTGTTCTCGTATTGGCATCCTTGGTGATATTTAGCGCCCTCTGATTATTCTGCACTTTGATGGTGCTACATAGCCTTCCCGGTTTGGTGCCTTCCCTTGATAATTACTTACCTACTTGAGGTGTCTGGACGAACGTTAAAAGCTGTAGAAAATATACTTTTGAGACATTTGACAAGACTTGATTTGAGCAAGGAGGGCCTGTTTTTGAGGCCAAAGATGAAGGGGGAGGGTGGAAAGCGAGGGGTGTTGCGGTCTTCCGCAGTCAAAGGGTTAAAGAAGTCCAATTCTTCTCTTGTTAAATAATTCTTTACATTCCTCTTTTACTCTAGATCGCCACTATTTCCATTGGCCGCCCTCTCCCATTTTGTGAGGCCTCCCATGGCCTCCTCCCATGGCATCATGGTCCCCTAATATATTTTAGTGTCGTCAAATAAGCAAATTTTTTGGAACATGTAATTTCTTTAAAGATTGGAAACTGCAATATTCTTAAACTTTCATCTTAATCTAGTTATATTAATTCACTAGACTTTCAGTAAACATTTTATTGTATGTCTTAAATTTATTTGTAAACATAAATAATTTTTAGTGTGTTGAGCCTGTCAGTTTTATGTTCAGATCGCTGTGAAAGCATCGCACCATTACTCTGGAAAAATATATATAGGTCTATATGCAGTAAGTTTACCATGTGGTTGAGGTTCGGCTACTAAGCAGACATGACAATAGTATAACAGTAATTAATGAAATATGTCTTGGTAATGTGTGTGTTTGTTTTTGTGCCACAGGCCACACCAACTGGAACTGGGGACTACGAGTTCGAGTGCCAGCATGGCCCTGACGAGTGCCACGGGAACAAGGTGATGGCCTGTGCTCAGGACTCCCTCCCCATCGATACACAAGTGGAGTTCTTCAACTGTATGATGAGCAAGTCGTACCCCGCCACCACAGGGCAGGAGGTGAGATCAAAGTTCTACCACAGTATACTGGTGTTTAGGGTACAGGGTGTTGGCAGCTACCACAGTATGCTGTGTTTAGGGTACAGGGTGTTGGCAGCTACCACAGTATGCTGTGTTTAGGGTACAGGGTGTTGGCAGCTACCACAGTATGGTGGTGTTTAGGGTACAGGGTGTTGGCAGCTACCACAGTATGCTGTGTTTAGGGTACAGGGTGTAGGCAGCTACCACAGTATGCTGTGTTTAGGGTACAGGGTGTAGGCGGCTACCACAGTATGCTGTGTTTAGGGTACAGGGTGTAGGCGGCTACCACAGTATGCTGGTGTTTAGGGTACAGGGTGTAGGCGGCTACAACAGTATGCTGTGTTTAGGGTACAAGGTGTAGGCAGCTACCACAGTATGCTGGTGTTTAGGGTACAGGGTGTAGGCAGCTGCCACAGTATGCTGTACTCACCTAGTTGTGCTTGCGGGGGTTGAGCTCTGGCTCTTTGGTCCCGCCTCTCAACCGTCAATCAACAGGTGTACAGATTCCTGAGCCTATTGGGCTCTAACATATCTACACTTGAAATTGTGTATGGAGTCAACCTCCACCACATTGCTTCCTAATGCATTCCATTTGTCAACCACTCTGACACTAAAAAAGTTCTTTCTAATATCTCTGTGGCTCATTTGAGCACTCAGTTTCCACCTGTGTCCCATAGTGCGTGTGCCCCTTGTGTTAAATAGCCTGTCTTTATCAACCCTGTCGATTCCCTTGAGAATCTTGAATGTGGTGATCATGTCCCCCCTAACTCTTCTGTCTTCCAACGAAGTGAGGTTCAATTCCCGTAGTCTCTCCTCGTAGCTCATACCTCTCAGCTCGGGTACTAGTCTGGTGGCAAACCTTTGAACCTTTTCCAGTTTCGCCTTATGCTTGACTAGATATGGACTCCATGCTGGAGCCGCATACTCCAGGATTGGTCTGACATATGTGGTATATAATGTTCTGAAAGATTCCTTACACAAGTTTCTAAAGGCCGTTCTTATGTTAGCCAACCTGGCATATGCTGCTGACGTTATCCTCTTGATATGAGCTTCAGGGGACAGGTCTGGCCTGATATCAACCCCCAGGTCTTTCTCTCTCTCTCTGACTCTTGAAGTATTTCATCTCCCAAGTGATACCTTGTATCTGGTCTCCTGCTTGCTACCCCTATCTTCATTACATTACATTTGCTTGGGTTAAACCTCTAACAGCCATTTGTTCGACCATTCCTGCAGCTTGTCCAGGTCTTCTTGAAGCCTCAAGCTGTCCTCCTCTGTCTTAATCCTTCTCATAATTTTGGCGTCGTCAGCAAACATTGAGAGGAATGAGTCTACACCCTCTGGGAGATCATTTACGTATATCAGAAACAGGATAGGTCCAAGTACAGAGCCCTGTGGGACTCCACTGGTGACTTCACGCCAGTCTGAGGTCTCACCCCTCACTGTAACTCTCTGCTTCCTATTGTTTAGGTACTCCCTTATCCACTGGAGCGCCCTACCAGTTACTCCTGCCTGCTTCTCCAGCTTATGCATCAACCTTTTATGGGGTACTGTGTCAAAGGCTTTCCGACAGTCCAAAAAAATGCAGTCCGCCCATCCTTCTCTTTCTTGATTAATCTTTGTCACCTGATCGTAGAATTCTATCAAGCCTGTAAGGCAAGATTTACCCTCCCTGAACCCATGTTGATGGGTTGTCACGAAGTCTCTTCTCTCCAGATGTGTTACTAGGTTTTTTCTCACAATCTTCTCCATCACCTTGCATGGTATACAAGTTAAGGACACTGGCCTGTAGTTCAGTGCCTCTTGTCTGTCACCCTTTTTAAATATTGGTACTACATTAGCAGTCTTCCATACTTCTGGTAGGTCTCCCGTTTCCAGTGACCTACTATACACTATGGAGAGTGGCAAGCAAAGTGCTCCTGCACACTCTTTCAATACCCATGGTGAGATTCCATCCGGCCCAACAGCTTTTCTCGCATCCAGCTCCAATAGGTGCTTCTTGACCTCATCTCTTGTAATTTCGAACCTTTCCAAGGTCACCTGGTTTGCTGCCACCTCTCCTAGCGCCGTGACTTCTCCCTGTTCTATTGTAAAGACCTCCTGGAACCTTTTGTTGAGTTCTTCACACACCTCTTTGTCATTCTCTGTGTACCTGTCTTCGCCCACCCTAAGTTTCATCACCTGTTCCTTCACTGTTGTCTTCCTCCTGATGTGACTGTGTAGTAGCTTGGGTTTAGTCTTGGCTTTATTAGCTATATCATTTTCATACCTTTTCTCAGCTGCTCTTCTCACACTAACATACTCGTTCCTGGTTCTCTGGTATCTCTCTCTACTTTCTGGTGTTCATTACGGAAGTTCCTCCATGCCCTTTTGTTCAGCTCCTTTGCTTTCATACATTCCCGATTAAACCACGGATTCTTCCTTTGCTTCTCTGTTTTTACCTGTTGGGCTGGGACAAACCTGCTTACAGCCTCCTGACATTTTTGGGTGACATAGTCCATCATGTCTTGTACAGACTTGGTTCAGAGTTCTGTGTCCCAATGTATATCCCATAGGAATTTATTCATCTCCTCATAGTTTCCCTTTCGGTACGCCAGCCCTTTGTTTCCCAGTTCTTTTTTGGGGGTGATAATTCCTAGCTCAACCAGGTACTCAAAGCTCAATACACTGTGATCACTCATTCCCAAGGGGGGCTTCCAACTCAACTTCCCTTATATCCGACTCATTTAGGGTAAATATCAGATCAAGCAAGGCTGGTTCATCCCCTCCTCTCGTTCTTGTCGGTCCCTTGACGTGTTGACTTAGAAAGTTTCTTGTTGCCACATCCAGTAGCTTAGCTCTCCATGTGTCTGGGCCTCCATATGGGTCTCTGTTCCCCCAATCTATCTTTCCATCTATCTATCTTTGCTGTGTTTAGGGTACAGGGTGTAGGCAGCTACCACAGTATGCTGTGTTTAGTGAACAAGGTGTAGGCAGCTACCACAGTATGCTGGTGTTTAGGGTACAGGGTGCAGGCTGCTACCACAGATTAATGTGTTTAGGGTACAGGGAGTAGGCAACTATCACAGTATACTGTGTTTAGGGAACAGGGTGTAGGCAGCTACTACAGTATGCTGGTGTTTAGGGTACAGGGTGTAGGCAGCTACCACAGTATACTGTGTTTAGGGTACAGGGTGTAGGCAACTACCACAGTATGCTGGTGTTTAGGGTACAGGGTGTAGGCAGCTACCACAGTATACTGTGTTTAGGGTACAGGGTGTAGGCAACTACCACAGTATGCTGGTGTTTAGGGTACAGGGTGTAGGCAGCTACCACAGTATACTGTGTTTAGGGTACAGGGTGTAGGCAACTACCACAGTATGCTGGTGTTTAGGGTGCAGGCAGCTATCACTTGCCCAGCGTCCCCACGAGCATAGGGGCCCCACGAGCATAGGGGGCCCAGGAGCATAGGGGCCCCACGAGCCTAGGACATGTTCATTATGGAAGCAGAATGTTTAAATATTTAGGTGGTGTTGCAAGCACGCTTATATAACCCTACATCTTGGTGTGGGGACTAAATGCTAAATATTTAAGATATTCTTCCAGGTGAGTAACCCTTTCAGCATTTCTTTTAATATATACAATTAGGTACTTTGGGTTTATGAGAGTATAAAGCATTGACGATTTTACTTTCTTGCAAAGCCACTAATATGCATAGCATATTAGTGGCTTTGCCACTAATATGCTAATAATGACTAATATGCATTTCGGACTGGTCCTTAATCTAAAAGATAATTTTAAGTAGGTAATTGTAGCAAAATTTAATGAATATTAATAGGTACATTGTAAGAGTATTTAAAGAATATTAATAGGTACATTGTAAGAGATTTTGAGGATTATCAACGGGTACATTGTAGCATAATTTGAGTAGTATTAATAGGTACATTGTACCAAAATTTTCGTTTAACAGAACAATGATATAAGTTGATAGTAGTTATTATATTGGTGAAGATGCATGCTGGGGAAGTGGGTAGCGCAGGAAACAGTGAGAGTTTGAAGCACAGAGTAGGAAACTATTAAGATGTAATTAGGTACATTTAGTTTTTTCTTATGAATAAGGCATAAGTTGGACAGCTTTTTAATTCGTTAGGGAGTGAGTTCCATAGACTAGGTCTCTTTATTTGCATAGTTTGTTTACACAGATTTAGTTTGACTCTGGGGACATAAGTCTCCGTGGTGTAGTGGTAAGACACTCGCCTGGCGTTCCGCGAGCGCTATGTCATGGGTTCGTGTCCTGGCCGGGGAGGATTTACTGGGCGCAATTCCTTAACTGTAGCCTCTGTTTAACGCAACAGTAAAATGTGTACTTGGATGAAAAAAAGATTCTTCGCGGCAGGGGATCGTATTCCAGGGACCATAGGATTAAGGACTTGCCCGAAACGCTACGCGTACTAGTGGCTCTACAAGAATGTAACAACTCTTCTATATATCTCAAAAAAAAAAATGATATATTTATGTCTTGTGTAGTGATTATGAATTCTATTACATCTGTCAAGAAAGAGTTTCGGATCAGGATTTGCATTTAGGAACAAGGTTTTGTTCATGTATATGGCACAAGCGAATGTGTGGAGTGAGTGTATGTTTAGCATGTTTAGGGATTTAAACAGAGAGGCTGTGTGAATTTTGGTTCTGGTAGTAGACGTTTGCTGGTTGATGATGGGCTTGAGGTAATTTGCAGTAGATGAACCCCAAGCACAGATATCCTTTGTAAGATAGGGATAGAATAGCGAGTAGTATAATGAGAGGAGAGCAAAGTGGTGAATATAATATCTGATCTTAGAGTGTATGTCGACAGTTTTATATATTTTTTTGGCTGTGTTGTATGTGTGTAATGAAGATGAGTCTCTTATCTATGTATAGGACAAGGAACTTTCCTTCATTGTTATTGCTGATGTTTACATTGTCTATATGAAGTTGAATTTCATTTGATGATTTGCTTACAA